TAAGTGAGTTGATGTTATTATGGTAGCAGAGGTCATGTCCACAGTAGCCACCAAAAAAGAAGATTTCATTGTTTCTGGTAGTACAGAAGTATCCTATAGTTCCTAGAGGAGGTAAAGTTCCTCTGGTCACGTGAGAGGACCAATGACCAGTCCTAAACTCCAGTCTATCAATGGTGGACAACAATTTCCTCTTTTGTGGGGAATCATGAACAACAGGTAAGTCAGGCCTTTGCCCTCTCCACAGGAACACTGATTCTCCTACTACAGGAGCTGAGTGTCCTGATATCCCTCCCAGTTGATAAATACCTGTAAAATACAAACATGATGAGAAAGAGGAGGAAGAAAACAGAAACTCACCTTTAGACATTGTTTGTCAAGAATGTTAATTAACTAGCCACACCCACAATAACAATATTCATTACTCATAATCACCCACACCCATATCACCTTCTAAATTAAATCCAATCACTGCCAACATTATAACAATAAGTACAGTAATTATTAGTTGGTTGTGTGTCAAGGAATACATCAGGTTAAAACATGTCTTCTTTGCTTGCTGATGAGGTGATGGTCCTGCTATTGAATGCATTGGAATATATTCTTCTTAGTGAGTTAGTGGTGAGTCCAATTAATAATAATTGGTAGTTGGTACTCTCTTGGTGATTATGATAAAAGGTACTTGAGCTAGTACTTACAAGAAATGTACTCACAAACTAACCCTCAGGTATAATAGTAATACAAGATATTACAATCAAAAGAATTCAAGTTTTATTATTATTATTATTATTAATGTTAATGCATTATAGCAAACATGACAAACAATATCTTAACTGGAATTATTAGAGATTTTATATTACATGAGAGTTTTGTAGTCAGTACTTGCAACAAAGAGACTAAACTCAAGTGTAGATTGCATTATTCATTACAAGTCAAATATCACCTACTGGAGACAACAATAAATAAAGTAATGCGAATTACTTTTTATACTATAGTAAACTCATCAAACTATACCTCATAGTATAACTTCATACACTGTAGCCTTCTTGTCTCCAGATCCAGTAACAATAAAATGATCATCCTAACCTGGTCCAGTTCATTGGTGCAACTGAAGTGGGTAATCCTCTTGTCTTGACCGAGCTGATGAGCACTAGATCTATAGTCTTTATAAAAAGCTTCAGGAGACTAAGTTAACCAATCAACAGATTCTGAGTATTGCTCAAGATGTAGCTTTAGGCCTCAACTACCTTCACCTGTTTAAGCCTCAGCCTATTATTCACAGAGATGTGAGCAGTCCTTACGTATCATTAAAGCCTTGCACTGGACCTGCTGGTTATGAAGCTAAAGTAGCAGATTATGGTACAGCTAAATTGCAACAAGGCACTGGTAGTACTGTTATGCCAGGCAATGCTGCATATGCTGCACCAGAAGCTCGTGATCCTGATCAAC